TTAGCATGTAACAAGCTGAATCCCACTCAGTTGTGGTTTCAGGCAATTGCCCATGGGTGACCTTGCACAACCCCTAATGTCCTACAGTTGTACTGGGACTAAATCTTTTCTTTTTCTTTTTTTATAATGGGACAAATCTGGGCACCACCACAGAAGGAGCTGCTGTCTTTTTCTGCCCTAATGCCCTGCCGGGTGGTGGGGGATTACACTCATACTCTTTTCCTAGGGTATTTTTAAACCACCAATGCACGATTTTTGGCACAACTTGAAAGCGTTGGAAGAGCGCTCAACGAACGTGATAATTACCCTCCCTTCTGTACTTACACAAAGTTCTTCTCTAGATGATTTTTGCAGATACGGTTCTCCAGAGGCTTTAGATAATTTTATATACTTCTTGGGAAACATTTTCAGTTGCTGAACTTTGCAAACTCCCCCTTCCTCCTAATATTTTGGCTCACATCACACCTTTGAAGAGAGAGGCTATCGGTTGGATTGACATTAGTAGTTCATCACGTGGTGTGATGCGAGAGGTGTTCGGCCAATGCACACAAAGAATGCCACATCACACAGAGGCTCTCGGGGCAAATCACCTGTGAGTGACCATTGGAAATAGCCAGCATGTGGCCTTTTCCAGCTTGGTGCTTCCGGACTGGAAGTGATGGGAACTGAAGTCCAACACATACTTGAGAAGGCCCCTATTAGACTATAAAATGAAGTCTAAATCAGTGTTCCTCAACCTTGGGAACTTTAAGATGGGTGGACTTCAACTCCCAGAACTCTGGCTGGCTGGGAAATTCTGGGAGTTGAAGTCCACCCATCTTAAAGTTCCCAAGGTTGAGGAACACTGGTCTCCCTGTTCTGCAGTGAAGTATCTTCTGAACTACCTTCTTTTGAGGATATAAACAGGAGGTCACGTGTACCACCCTAATCCCAGTGGGGCCCAAGGATAAAACAAATGCCAATCTTGTTCTGCAGTCAGTGCGCCCACTTGGTGTGTGTGTGTAGATGTACGCGCGTGCAAATGGTTGTGGTTTTTTTTGGTCTTGTTCCTGTTGCCTGATTACATTCTTTTTCCTATTTTTTTTAAAGATTTCACTGACTACCACATGCTGCTTAAAGAGGCTTTTGAAGCCTAGCAAAGGGAAAATAAATGGGATCTTTGAAAAAAGCAACCACAGTAAATCTGTTTCTTCTTTCTGCAGCTGACGGGGATTCCCATGAACTGTTCGGTCAAAATACAACTGAATCTCTTAATAAAACATGTCCCTGGTGTCTGGTAAGTCGTTGGCCCTGATTGCCAAGTTGGGGAGGGGGGGAGGCTTGGGTTTAGAACAATGGGTTTCTTTGCACTTCTTTGAGTCATATTAATCCCTCCTCAGGGAGTTGGGCAGAAAAGATCAAGTTGGTGGCACAAGGCCACTTACATAACCCAAAACTCAGGCTTAGGAAACAGTGCACAAATTTTGACCATGAGATTTTAAAATGCTCGTTCTCTCCTGATTTTTCAGGCAAACTGGACATATAAAGCCTGTGGTGTTACCCCTGCTTTGGTTTTCAGAGGTAAGTGTGGGTCTGTGTGCATGCTCACATACACAGATACACACCCACACAAACACCTTCTGAGAAGGACGTATATAGTTTGCAGTAACTTTTAATCAAGTTAAGCTTTCCTTCCCTCTTCCTTCCTTCCTTCCTTCCTTCCTTCCTTCCTCCCTCCCTCCCTCTCAATCTAAAATACTCAGTACTTAAATTGACAATCTTACACAATGGTTTGCTTCTTGTAATGGTTTATTTCATACTTGGCTACCAAGCTGAATTTTGCTGTGAATTGTCCTGCTGTTTGAAAAGAAAGTAAATGTTAAGTTCGGGGGAAGGTTTTTGGGTTGGTGGGAAGAAACCATGCAACCTTTCCCCCTTTTCTGTATCATGGACTTAAAAAAAATAAAAATAAAGTTCTGTGTCACTCTGGTCTGCCATTGGCTAAACTGCTGTGATGTCACAGAACGTATTTGAGCACTCTAAATCCAATCAGGGCAAAATGGGACTGCCTGTTGATGGGCGTTGGGATCTGGAAGGACAATTCATGAAGAGGAGAAGCAGAGAAATCTGCAAAGCCTGGGAGCAAAAGAAACTCCGTGTCCTTTTGCCAAGAATGAGATTGGATGGGGAAGGGGGAGGGATCCAAATGGCACGTGTTCCAAGATAAACCATGGAAAGCCAGTTGGATGTTGATTGATGGAGCCCAAGAAGGAAGCAATGTTCTCCCACACTGCTGAGAATTCTGCCCATTAGATGCAGGCCATCAAATCCCGTGGGGAAATAGAAACGCTGATCATTTGTTTGGTTTCTTTTTTTGAGCAGAGCGCAGTGGTTGAAGGAGATCTTTTGAATGACTTCTATATCCATCTAATAATTATTCCTTCATTGCTGGAATACCTGAAGTACTGCCTGGTGGCCCTGGGAGGTCTTCTGCTCTTGGGAGCTGGCTTCCTTGGGCTCAGGAGCAAGGTAAGGCACAAAGTGACTTTGGAACTGCCGATCTCCTTCCTTCATATCGTTATTGAGCTTCTGTGTGGTTCTGCCCTCCCTGCAGTCAGTCAGAACATTCCTGTTCTCTTCATTCAAGGGCGGTTCTTGTTTTCTTCTTCTAACCTTCTTGAGTTTGCACAGAAAGTGTTTTTTTTTAAAGAAAAAAAACTGTGCAAGTTCTTTCCCTTTGAGTTGAGGTAGCCCAGGACAAGGAGAGAAGCTTCGTGCTTGAAGTTCAGCTTTTCTTCAGGCCACCTGGAGACAGGAGTAAGATATGGATATCCCAACAGATTAGAAGACATCTCAACCAGGAAGCTCAACAAGATTCAAGGTGTCTTTGTTTCCCCCAAAGAGAACGTAGTAGAAGATTCCCAATCCAGGGCCACCAAGTGGGGAAGAAGCAATTCTTATGCCAATTGTGACCTGGAAACTGAGATTGCATTTTTGGAATAGCTATCAAAACCAGGAGCACTAATGCTAAGTCTTCTAGCAGATGTTCCTTCCTGTTGAGTTTTCTTTTCCCCAGTCAATATTAGGAACCCCACACAAATCTCCAAGTTGTAATCCAGCAGTTTTAATTGTGTTACATTTTTGGTGTTAAGGACAGCAAAAAGAGTAGATGTTGCCTTTGGGTACATTGGATAGGAACTCATGGTTGCAAATGTTTCCATGGACAATGCTTTTTCTTAAAAGTCTTCAAGCTGTTTTAGGGCTCTTGGTTGTGAGTTTTGCACTACCCCAGTGCAACAGTGCTCAAACCTCCCAAGAGGTGTGTAAAATGTTTTCAGTTTGAAGTACTTCATTCTGAGCACAAAATGGCCATTTGAAGGGCAAAAGAAGGCTGGATGGATTGACCTGGAGGTGTTCTGAACTCCTAGAAGACGTGGAGCAGCCTCGTTTGCCCTCGCAACAGTGGCTTGGCTCACTAACCAGGACATTTTGAGTTCCAAGCTGTTCTCTGAGATGTCTTTCAGACCCTGAAAGAACCCTTTCATAAGTGCAGTTGGTGTTTTTTGGCGGAATAGGTGTTCCAGATCAAAAGGAATAGATTGCTCTGGTTGGAGACACCCTTGTGTGCATTTGATTGTATATTTAAGGACAATCTCCAGAGCTGCAGAGTATGATTGTTTAGTTGTTTGAAAGCCAAGAGAGCTGTTCCAAAACAAGAAGATCTGGTGGTCTTCAGTGCAGATCTGCATTTGGATTCTTTGGGATCTTTCCACCGGGACCAGGTTCACCGAGCCACCCGTCAAGTCAACTTTTCGAGTCAACTCCTTTGACTCAAACCTGCTCCGGCAAAGCCTTAGAGGCAGAGTTGATTGTAAGAAGAAGGTAGAAAGTGTTTTGGTAGAACTCCAAGAAAATTAATGAACTAACTTGCATAATGTTGCATCTGTTAGGCATTCAAGGTTTGTAGGTACAAGCAAGCACCCACTGTAAAGCACGCGTTGGCAAAGGAACAGTTGCCTTGCCGTAACCTGGGGCTGCAGGTAAGGGAGGAGAGATGTTGTACCTTGAATCCAATCCCAGTGTGGCAGAGAAAGGAAAGATGGAAAGATGGCTACATCGTATTTAATTAAAGAGCAGTAAATTGGGTTAACAATGTCATTTAAGGTTATTATGCCCCTGCATAATTAGTAGTTTTCCCCTTCTCACAGGTTATAAGTAGTTATGCCTTTGGGAGGCCTGTAAGAGTGCATCTGACTTTTTTTAAGGGGAGGTGGGGTTCATGTAACTCCAAAGAAGCAGCTGTGGTTTAACAGTATGCAGTTGGTGCTGGTTGAAGGCCATATTTCTCAACCTTGACCACTTTGAGATGGGTGGACTTTAACTCCCAGAATTGGCATGCTGGCTGGGAACTCTGGGAGTTGAAGTCTATACACCTTAAAGTGGCCAAGATTGAGAAACACTGGTTTAAGGAATTGAATGAATGTTCAAACCCTTCCTTCCTTCCTTCCTTCCTTCCTTCCTTCCTTCCTTCCTTCCTTGACTACACGGGACAAGTCTTTGACTGCACAGTCACAAAAACCATCTTTATTTTTTTCACGCTTGGTAGACATCCTGGTGCCCCAGGATTTTTAAAATAAGCCTATCTTATATCATATTGGCTTACCCATGTTATCTATCAATCATCTATCTATCTATCTATCTATCTATCTATCTATCTATCTATCTATCTATCTATCATCTTCTTTTTTTTTCATGAGGAGGGAATTACTAACAAACTGAAAAATTGCTCTGTCCGTTTAGCTCCTTCTCAATAATGCCCAGATCAACCTGGATTCCAGGCGTATAATTCCTCCTTCTGAGAAACCCTGCTTCTGAGATTGATTTCAAATCACACCTGTAGTCCAGTGTTTCTCAACCTTGGCAACTGTAAGATATGTGGACTTCAACTCCCAAAATTCCCCAGCCAGCATATGTTGAAGTCCACATATCTTAAAGTTGCCAAGGTTGAGAAACACTGCTGTAATCTCTGGATTTTTTGGTGTGGCCTAGCAGTAGATGGGTGATCTGGAACATGTTGGTTAACTTCTTTTACCTGACAAGAGTTAATCTTTGAGGTGTGGAATGGTCTAGATCTTAAACACTCTAAAATGGGTTACGCCCGACTAGCTAAGGAACTTCCTCTCCTGTTGTCAGCCCTTCAGAGGAAAGTTGTGTAGATGAATGCTATTTTAATTGTGAAGTGATAGTAACAGAATCTTGCAAGTCTGAATGTGCCTGCCCCTTCATCTTCGTGTGAAATAGAGAAGGCCTCATCTGAGATGTTTTCTCAGGTTACAGTTCTGCCCTAGACTCAGGTTCCTCTTATCTGACCGTTGCCTTGGCAGCGGCTCTTCCTCCTGTCCCTCAAGGCCATTCCCTCTTTCCTCTACATCTGTATGGAGCCTGTCTGCTGGTTAGGACTATCAGGAGAGGCCTTTTGAAGATGCTCCTACCATCAGAAGACTTTGGGCCTGAGAAAAAAGGCCTTCTTCTGAGTTGCTCCAAGACAGGAGAATGTCTCTTAGCTCCCTTAGGTGTTTGCCAGAGCAGAAAGGTAGGATATGAATCAAGCAAATAAATAAATATCAATGGGCAATCAACTGTCATAATGATCCTGTCTCGGAGATAACCAACATGCACTTGTTTATGTAGGATGTCTTTGATATGAGTCTCTCCCAGTTCAGGATTATGCTGCTCTCTCCCAAAACAGCTCTCCGTTCCTGCTCGTTTATTTCTTTGAGGTCTTTGCTGTCTCTTGTCAGTCGGTCCAAAACTTTGTCAGTTGTTGCAGGAATGCTTAGACTGTGTCTCATGGTACTGCCAAGGAGGGAGTGCAGATTTGTTTGAGTGTTGTATGGAAACCCAGATGCCAGCTTGCCCAAGCAGGGCAGAGAACAAGAGTGTAGCAAATCTGGATTGTTATCCGTACATGTTCTCATTCTGCCTGGATAGGCCAGCATCTGGCTCACCAAGCAGAGCCCAAAGCATGTTGTTACAGGGCTTCAGCTTTGCATGCAAATGCCTCCTATATGTGCACCCGAAGCTGGATCACGGTCAGAATTCACTCCCATTCTGCCTGGACAAGCGAACAACGGCAGGATTTTCTACCGTCACTGCTATAAAGAGCAAATACCAATCCCAGATCAACATGGAATGAGAAGTAGGAGCAGCTGTCTCAAGAATAAAACCCAGACTTCAGGAATTAATACAGGACTAATATTGCCGCCGTTGACAGTCGGATGGCATCTAAGCGTAATAAATTAATATTAGTATAAAGTTAGTGCATCCTTCCCATTAAAATTATAGTTTTAAACATGATTGCTTAGTTAGTTCAGATGAAAAGAAAATTGTAAAGTTGCAGGTTCCTGTGTTAAAAGGAGCATATTTACTTCTTGCCCAACCCTAATCCTAGTGAGAACACAAATTCACACAGATTCGTTTATCCTTTTCAGGAGTCGTGACACCATAAAGTTCAAATATTCCTAGGTTACTGAACAGACTTGAAAGAAAAAAGAAAGCTATTCAGAATTAAACCTGATTGGTGTGGCATTTAAGTTTAGTAAAATAAGCGAATTAAGATTTCTCCCCCCCCCCAAATAAATTAACTTTAAATGGGCGGATTATTTGAGATTCTGATAGAGAGTGATCAGAATAGTCCTCTCGTCTTCAGCAGAGAAAATGATGAAGTACTTCCGTGTTGAACCCCTAAGGAAGGATCTCCCTTCTAAATCTGGTTAGTTGACCCTTGTCATCCCTACTTGTTTAAATCAGTTCAATGGACCAAGTAGAGTCCTTCACGCAGTGAATGCATTTAAGGCATAAATGGTGGCCCACAGCCCCACATCTGGATCAGAAGAAGATGGTGAAGGATGAAAACTCCCCCTGGAGCCTGCAGTTTCCAACTGACACCTCCCACTTCTTTGGAAGCTGCTAGTTGAAAAAGTCACAAGGGGTCGAGGGACCTTAAGAAACACCCACCCCATCTGATCTCACATGAGGGTGAGTCAGCAATGTGCACATGCTGTTGCACATGTGTAACCTCAGCAGTTCATTCGTGGGAAACCTCCCGCTTCCACGCCAGTTGCATTCCCGGACTTTTTAAAAAAGGAGACCCCGTTCATACACGCTCAACCCCATCACAGAGCGCTTTGGGGTGGGCGTTAAAGCTTTAGAGAGGTTTCTCTGCAGATGTCCAAATCCTTGCCATTTAATCGTTTCTCTCCCGGATCACAAGATACTTTAAAAAGTAAAGCAAAACTTCTAAACCTTGTCCTCCAGTGAGTGTGGTGTTCATGTGGACCTCTTTACTTCCTCAACAGACTTTGAATCTTTCATGCCAGAAGGATGGATCCGTTGCAGTACAGATTCCATCTGGATCTGACAATAATTATGAGTATCAAAAGCCCTTGGTAAGAGATCCTTCAGTGGATCATCTTCAGCTAGAAAAAGACAGATGTCTAACAAAGAATTCTTCTCTCTTTACCTCTCTGCATCATTTGGAGCAGATACTGCAAGCGCTCTAACCCAATTGTTGGATGCTGCAGGGATCTTTTTACAGTATTAGCAATATTTGTCAACCGAAAGCTTTTCTTTCCCAAATTGTGTGTGTGTGTGTGTGTGTGTGTGTATCTGTGTGGTTTTTAAGCATTGCTTTCAGTGCAGCAGCCCGGTGCTCAAATGACTGAGAATATGTTGCGCGCCCCACTATCTAATTTGATCATTCACTTCTTAATCACTTCTAAATCACATTTAAAAGAATAAACATAGCTTGCCTAAATTAGGACAAACAATTACTCTGATCTCCTTAATTTAATAAGGAAATAACCTCAGAAATAAAACTGTTCAATTAAGCAGTAGCTTTTCCTTCGTTCTTCCTTTAACCAATAACATAAATGTCCTAAAAGTGTAGCCTAAACCGTTTAAACCAGGCTAATTATTTTCTAGGGAAAAAGCTTTTTATTTTGCCGTAGTAGTAAGAGCTCAGGAACTAAAGGGGCCATCCCAGCCGTCAGGAAAAAAACCAGCTTGCAATGGATGGAGATGAAACTCTAGGTGGATTCCCGGAAAAAAAAAACAGGTAACGTCAAATTCGCGTTAAAAAATAAAATAAAAAAAGCAAAACGTAGCTCGACTCCATTTTAAAACCTCCTCGGGTTTTAAAACAGCTGCTGGAACGGCTCGTTGCTTTAAATGTTTTGTCTTCGCGGCAGCTAACCTACCCACAATTCCTTCGGCTAACCTACCCACAATTCCTTCGGCTAACCTACCCACGATTCCTCCTGCTTTTAACAGGCCCCCTAACTTTATCTCCCATATTTGTGCCTCCCCACTCACTCCTTCCCCGTATAACCACTCAGTCCACTGTGACTTTCCCCTTTCCCTCAATACAGGCCGACGGAAGCTTGAAAGAGCCAGTTGGTCCTGCAGAATCCGTTGCTTTGCTAAGCCTCCGACGACAGTAACTCTTGGGATCCAACTAACTTCCCGTTGCGCCCGCTTTTAAAACGTAGATGAGATTTTGTGGGATGAGTATCGGTTAAGGTGATGACACCCAGCTCCTGGCCTTTAGAGACCTCTGGGTGGAATTGCCCCGTCAGAAAAAAGACCAGTATTCCCTCTATGTGGCATCTGGAACAATCCTGCAGCAGTGAGTCGATAAGCGTTCTGCATGGTGCAGAGAAGCACTGTGGTTCATCCAGAATCTCCTGCCGGTGGAGGTCTTTGCATTTTCAGAATGGAAACCCAGCAAGGATGGCTACGCAGAGCAGTTGTTCTGGGTTACACCAGACGGAGAGCTTTAGATGTTCCTCCACTTGGCACATTTCTTAAACCCGCATCGCTGTGTAGTTGCTACCTTATTCACGATCGCCCTCCTGTGGCGATAGTTGACATTCACCAGACCTTGTACAGGAACCAAGGAAAAGAAAGCTTGGAAGATAGACCAGGTTGGATCCTGGGCCAAAGTGTGGTCTTAGTTTGCATGCAGGAGACTCAGACCTGTCCCTTCGCCACCTTTAGAGAAAGGGCAGGAGATAACTTTTGGCTTCCTCTTTAGAATACGTTCATATGAATTAATATTATGTTAAATATTGGTTTAGCATGAACAGTGGTTTATTGAAGCAGGCCAGATTCCAACTATGGTTTATTTGAATCAAATCAAATATCTTGCCGGTTGCTTGGTTGAGTTTGGTTTATTTGATTAAACAATAGGTGGAGGAGGTAAGATTCAGGCGTGTCATGTTCACCCAGCCCTTCCCAACCTGGAGCCTCTGCAGAGATCTTGGCACTGCAGTTTTTCACCCTGGTGGAACAATGTCAGTACGGTCCATTGTCTCTGGAGGACACCAGGTTGGAGGATGCTGTGCTAAAGCACAGAATTCAGTTGCAGATGAACCAGGCTAGTCTCTTGGTTCCTAGAAAATGCTTGCCACATGGAAAAGGATGAGATGTCAGAAAGTGAAGTTGGCTCAGCTGAGGGTCAACCCAACCCATATATCTTCAGGATTGGTGCAGTTCTAACTAGATGTTCTGGCTTCTTTTCAGAGAAAGGCTCCAACGAGGACCTCAGAAACACCCAGTCTTACGGAAGCTTCAGAAACAACCCCACTTCTGCAGGAGGACCCAAACACAATTCAGAGTAGCAGTAACACATAATAAACCTCGGTTCCTCCTCGCGAAGGATCTTGAGTTCTTTTACCAATCCCACTTATTCGTGGGCAGGAAAAAACGAAAGGGAATGGATGTCCCCATTGGAAACTCGAGGACCGTGCTGCAGCCGGGAAGAAGTTAAGACCCACTTTCCAAAACAGCCAGCCTACTCCAAGTTGTTTTTCTCATGCAAAGACATGAAGAACATCAACGCCATCTGATTTTGAAGACCATTGGAGGACACTTGGAGTAGCCAAGCAAAGCCCCCACTCTGTTCCCACCATTTGCCAACAAAGCCTGGATCTTTCCCTGCTTCTCATCCCCAGAAAGTCCTTTGATCCTTCTTAAAGGTGAAAATCACATTTTTACCCCTTTACGACGAAAGGTGTACATTCCCTGCTGGCGTTTACCTATGGGGCTATTCAGCGGGCCCCATACCTGCAAAAGAACCTTCAACATAGACTCTTTCCCCCTTTCAAACAAGAGCTCACTCATGACCAGCTTCACAACTGCCATTCTGCCAGCAAATGTAGTCAGAATCATCATCGGAAGGCAAACTCTGGTTCCAGATGACCCAGCACTGGTTGGTCCGGGCCCCAAAACAATCTCATTTTCACTGACCATCTTATCAGGGTTCAGGAAGCACCAGCACCGTGCCCAGCCAAACCAGCTGGAAACGGGCATTGTGGAGGGTCTCTGCGTGCAGGGAATAAACATGGCCGCTGCGCGCTCTTGAAACCAACCCGTGAATCTCTTTCCCTGGGAGCCCTTTGGGCTCCAAATTTTGTTCTTTTTCAGCCAGTACCTCCTGATGGAACATCGCCTTCTTTTTTTTGTTGTTTGTGTTGAAGTTTAACTGGAAACACAACGCTTAGGCACATGCTGTGTTGTTTTAAATATCTGCCCGGAGCAGAAGAAAGATGATTCTCTGAATCTGGGCTGAGATGGGGTTTTTTATGTCAATCCAAGTTCAGTTCAAGTGGAGGGAGCAGCAATCACGGGGACAAAGAAAAGTGGCTTGTTATGATATGATTCCTTGGGAACTAATGAACGCTGGATTTTGAATTCCCCTGTCCTCCTGTAAAGGGCGTCGGGTTTTTTTTTCAAATAACTTTATTAGATTTTAAAATAAGAACATGAAAAACTAACAAAAAACTAATATGAAAGGGAAAGAAGGAAAAAAGGGGGGGGAAAGGAAAAGGAAGGAAAAGTGCAGAAAAAGGTCAGAAGTGCAGGGAAAAAAAGAAAGAAAAGAGAAATAAAAAAAGAATGACTTCCGTGTCCTCACCACGAATTTAACTAACGGCTTACGCTAAAGTCTTACTCTAAGTGGACAACGTAACTTTCATTTTTTCTATCGTACAGTATTGATTGTAATCATCAAATCCATGCAACTTAAGTTCATTTTTTTCTGTTTCGTGCAAAAACTCCAAAAATGGCTTCCAGTTAGCATTAAAATTGCTCAGTGTCTTTTCTCGAATCAACGCCGTCAATTTCGTCATCTCGGCCAACTCCATCGACTTCACCGTCCATTCTTCCCTTGTGGGTAATATCAGTTTCTGTTTCGGGGGACATAAACGCCTTGCTGCTGTTATCATATAGAGAAACAAAGTTCCGTAAAGGGTGTCGATTTTTATCTACCACGAGGTCTAGTCTTCAGGGTTTTTTGTATCAGACATTTTATTCTAGCCACCGATCCTCATTTTGCCAAGAGGGAAAATGTCAAATATTTGCAGCTTTTGACGTCGTCTTGAGTTCAGTAGCAATACGGCACACCGTCACTGGGTGGAGGTGTTGTGTTGTGATTTTAAATCACAGTTTACTGTACAGTAACGTAAACAGAGCCTGGAGAGACAAAGGGGAGATTCATCTGGGTTGAGAAATGTCCCGTCCTGGTGTATTGGAGAAAGTGAGATATCAGAAAGAAAAATGTTTGTTGGGCATTGGCTAGATTTCCCTTGCGATTTCTCGGGATACGCCCTTGGAAGGATCCAGCTGGTGTGTGTAGGTGTGCGTGTGTACGACGGGAAAAAAATCTAGTTATTTTAGCTCATGGATTCAGCAAGGAATCCAGCCCCAATGAGCCAGCGTTTCGTTTTAATGAGATAATTGCTCTGGCAAATTGGGTTGATAGATGGGTGCCAGGGAGTGAAGATTTTAGTTTTCAGGGGTGGCTTGGAACTGTAATTCATTCACAAAAATCAGCTTAATTAAAGTTGAGTTCAGTAGAATATAAAAGAGCTTTATTGACTTACCTGCACGCCTTTGTATTCCCGTACCTGCTGCTGTCTTTTGGGTTAAACGACAATATGCCAAATGCAGAAACACAGTAAGAGAACTCATGAGATCCTCAGATAGCCCCAAGGATGGCAACCTGTGTCACCCATCATGGCCTTGGTTAACTGAGGCTTTCACATAATGCTTTTTCCATTAGAGGTGTCGACTAGATGGCCAGTCTTGATCAAACCCATGCTCTGCGCAGGATTCCTCCTTACTGTTAAGGACACGATACTGGATCGCGCACATTTGGGCCAGAGTGCCTGGAGCACCGTCATAACCCAAGTTTTGCTCCAACCAAGCTCACCCTACGATGGCCAAGCCAGGATTTCTGATCTAGAAACTACCGTGCAAGCCAGCATCTTGGGACCTGCATCCCACCAACTAGGAGATGTTGGCGTTGTTGGCCGCAATCAAGATACACCCCGTAGTTTTGTTTCGCAGTTTCAGGGGAACCAGGAAGAAACTGGGAGGAGTTCTCACCTCTGCGTTTCCTTGGGTTCTCCAGGAAGGGTGGGTAAGTGAAGCCAAATCAGACGAAGTGTAGCTAATTTTTAGGTTGAGAAAGGAAGTGAGATTCAGAGCCTCCAGTTCTTCATCCGAGATGGTGGTTAAAACTGGGGGGGGGGGGGGGGAGGATGGGAGAGAGAGAAAAATGGGCCAGATATTTAACCCACATCTGCATTAGGGTTCCTATCCCTCGGTCTCCTACCTAAAGGAAACTATCTTGGATGTTAATTTGCACATGGGTGTTGGGGATCAGCTCCTAAATGCTGATGGAGCACTGGCTTCAGCCCACAACCTGTGGTTTTGCACTGATCCCATAACGGGTCTCCCCAAGTAGCACCCATGTTGTTTGGGCTTGGTAGCTAAACAGAGATGACCCCATTGAGAACCTGAAGTGCCAGGGAACCCCAAGTTTCTTGCCTAGTCTGAGAAATCAGAAATCTGCATGACTATGTTGTCCTTCAAGTTGGGCTGGAAGAAGACTTTCCCGTTGATGGACTTCAGACTTTGAGGAAGTTCACTTTATTAGAAGTTGGGGGCCTGCTCTGAGAAAAGAGGTGTCTTTTGCAGATCTCTGAAAAAAGATATTTTTGGCTGGGCTCGCTCTTCTTCTGTTTCACATCCGCCTCCACGTTAAAATCTGCACTGTCTCCGTTGAGCGGTGCTCGGTGTCTGGTGGTTTCACAGGCCCGGCCGTGTCGTTTTCGTAGCAGACGCACAGAAGTGGTTTCTCAAGGTTGAAGTTGGTCCAGGCGGGGAAGGAAATCACACGTTAAAGGGGAGGGAGCTGGTTTTGCAGCAGATGACCCAAATTCATGCCTTTTTCTTTTTCCCTAGCTAATTTCTTCTGAGCCTGCTGATTAGTTTGCAAACTGTTGTTTTTTATAGCGGGGGTATGCATGAATGTGCTCCGTTTCTGAGCAATTGCCTGTCCTTTTTTTTAACATCATCATCATCATTGATGGCTAAAAAACACTGTAAATCTCTTCAATGAGCAAATCTATAAATGTAGCTTCTCTCTTTTTCTAACCAGCAGGGTATTCGAAACAGGAATGAGTCATGCCCGTCACGCAGGAGAGCAATGCTGTGATAATGTCCTGCGCTTGGATGCCCGCAGGATGCGTGTGAAGGCAGCCTCGATTTCCTTGTGTGCAAAAGAAACACGCTTGCCATATGCTTTTAGCGTATTCTCTGAGATTAAACAAAAAGACACAGGAAGCTGGACGATGAAAGCAAAGGCCCAAGAAGAATGGGGAAAATTCATCGGATAGATTTTTTTTTAATGTTTTGTAAATATTTGAAGTCTTTAGGACTGTCTGGGCTGTCCGTGCCTGTTCAGGTCTCAGACGGGGTCCTGGAAGATACCTGGCTAGGATGGCCAGTTTGGGTCTGCAAAGGGAATGCAAGAATACAGTAGAGCGGGGGTCCTCAACCTTGGCAACTTTAAGACGGGTAGACTTCAACTCCCAGAATTCCCCAGCCAGCTTTCTGGCTTTTCTCAATTCTGGGAGTTGAAGTCCACCCGTCTTAAAGTTGCCAAGGTTGAGGAACCCTGCAGTAGAAGACATTTCTTTGCTCTGTGAAAGTTCTTGAGTTGGCCACCAAAGAAACCCAGTTGGGTTTTTTAATTTTATTTTTCCCTTTTTTAATTTTCCCCTTTTTTATTTTCCCCTTTTTTAATTTTATTTTTCCATTTGTGCTACGCCAACCCAACCTTTGCCGTTGGCCAACCATGATTTGTTCCTTAGGTCTTGCGAACCCAGCCACTTGCAGCTTATCGCACAAACCGTGGTTAAGCCGGCCCACTTGGAGCCCACACAAACACATATACACACACACCCTTATTCTACAGGTAGCTACAGGATGGCAGACTTAGGGGGAGGTGGGTCCTCTTCTCCCCACGCCACCCTATGTCTTGCGGTCCGGGCGGCATCCTGAAAAGAACGGTTGTATAGAGCGGTTCCGGATGCTTTGAACATTTTGTGTGAAGAGGTTAATGGGTTAAGTGCCATTTCTACTCTGCCCGTCGTTCATTCAAATGCTGATCAGACGCCGCCGAGTCTTTCCAGCGTTTGCATTACCTTGCAAATGAAAGTCACTGGGCACCATTGAAACCTCAGCTCTATCACCTTTTATTTGACAGGAGTTGGCTGGGCGTTTTTTTGCTCACGGCTAGATGTCATAACGTGGCATTGGATGTAGCCGGGCTGGGCTTGCTTTAGACCAATGTTTCTCGACCTCAGATGGGTGGACTTCAACTCCCAGCATCCCCAATTTGTTAAACGCTGCCCCAACCCGTTTCCCTTTGGGCTCTCTGTCGCGAAGGGGCAACCTGACTGTAGGGTTAGCCCTGGGTTGTCTCCCTCGAAAAGACCCCCCCTCCCAAAATCCCCTTGGTCAATAGCAGGAAGCTTTGGTGCACTGGTGAAGGCACCAGGCTAGAAGCCAGGAGACCGTGAGTTCCAGTCTCGCCTAGGCACGAAGCCAGCTGGGTGACCTTGTGCCAGTCACACTCTCTCAGCCCTAGGAAGGAGGCAAGGGCAAACCACTCCCGAAAAACCTTGCCAAGAAAACTGCAGGGGCTTGACCAGGCAGTCTCCGAGAACCGGACATGATTGAACAGATTAAAGGGGGGAAAACTGGCAACTCAACCCCTAGTTTAATATTTCGGAGCAGGAATTGTCCCCTCGCCCCGCCCCCTGAAATGGGCTCTTTGCTAGATTACAAATCAGGGTTCTCCAAATTCAAAAGAGGAAAAATTTACGGTTGCCTTCCTAGCATTATGAACTGTCCTATTTTCCAAAGGAAACGGTGTCTATTACTTGGATAAGAAAGGAAGAAAACGAATCTTGGATTGTCTTTTATTTTGGGCAACAGTCCTACAATGGAGGGGATTGGGTCGCAAAGTGTTGAAAGAGAGAGGACTCAGAGTCTCCGATCTGTGACCAGTGTCCCCAAAGAGGCTCTCATAAACAGGCTTGGGAAAAATCCCCAGATTCGCCGTTGTACGACAGTGTGGAAATTGGGAATTAAAAGAACCTAAACCAGAAACTCAGTTAACTCAGTGGGAGGAAGGCCTGAAAATAGCTTCACACAAGCTATCATTTGGCCGTTCTAGTCCTAAACCATAATTTTTGCCTTGAGCGAGACCCGTGGATGCAGCCATTTGTGGTATGTTCAACAAGCCATGGTTAAACAATGGTTTAGCCTTGTTCGGCCCCCAATCGCTCTTAATATTTGATCATCCCTGGGATTTTTTTTTATTTATCCAGGTTTGTGCTCTTTTAAAGCTGCTTTCCCTTAGTCAAGGAAATACTTTACAGCGGGGATGTTCTCAGATCATTATAAGTACAGGCTGAAATAATACCTCTGCTTTATCTTCCTGGGCATGAA